TTGGAGTTGGAAAGCGCGTTCTTTCAATAGTTTTGTTAGCTGCTCGCATGTCTACGCAAATTCTTAGATTGCCGTCATATTTTGGCACAATTACCATTGGACTTATCCAGGGTATCGCTTCGTCTGTTACCGCTTCAATTTTTGCAAGTTTCAACTTTAACCTTTTTTCTAAGTGCAAAAGGAATTCTTCTTTCTCTTTGTGCGACTGGTAGTATACTTTCATTAATTTTCAATTTTACTTGGTAATTGGAGAGTTTTCCTATTTTACGGCTAAAAACAGAATTTTTGTATCAGTTTATAAGTGGTTCTAATCGTTTTGGAGCATTTAGAAAGAGAGAGTATTGTTTAATTTGCTTAAGTTCTGCAAAAAATGGCAAACTTGTTGTTTACTGTCGTCATGGTTATTTTGTTCTCTTTGGCCTTTGTTTAAAAGTTTCTTATTGACGTCAGTATTTAGTTGTATTAAACCGAGTAACTTAGTGTCATTTCCAGATAACAGATTTGTGGTGTGTAACAGATTTGTGGTGTGTTTTAACCACGTGGAATGTGGACTGACGAAATTTGGTTTGACTTTCTTTCACGACAATGATCTGTCCTTCTATTTTGAAATTTGGATTGTTATCCCCGTAAGTAATAATTTGTGTTTTAGATTTTTGTAGTCGAAGTGCTTTTAAGGAAATTGTTTATCTTTTCAAATGTTTTAAAGTTTAGAATGTTTATCGAAGCTCCGATGTCTATTAAAACAGTTATTGGTATATTTTCTATGTTAATCGTTACCTCGAAGTTCTCAAGTCCATCTTTAGATATCTGTTTAGCATTGACAGAGTACAATTCTCCTTCGTTTAACTTTGACTGAGGATTTTTGGATTCATTGATATCTTTGTAAATTGTATTTAATGGTTTCGTATAACCTTGTTCATTTCTTTTGTATTTCTCTTGGTGTATTCTTGTATTCTGTTCGTTTTTTTTTCTAGTTTACAGACTGTTGCAAAATGTCCAATTTTCCCGCAGGAGTGGCAAGATTTCCCCAAAGCTAAACATATATTCGTGTGTGGAAATCCGTTTCCACATCGGTAGCAAGTTCTTTTTAGCGACTTAGTTTCTGTCTCATGTGGCGCTTGGCTGGTTTGTAGAAATTTTGTTTTCTTTACTGTATTTACTTCTTTTTGTTTTATCGTTACTTTCTTAAGTTCTTCTATTTGATGGTCCATCAGCTCAAATGTTTTGGCAGTAGTTAACAAGTTCTGTAGAGTTTTGTTAGGATTTTGGAAACTGTATTTCCGTAGTTTTGAAATATTTGTGCATAGCTCAATTTGTAGTTTAATTTCTTTATCCTTATCAGCAAACTCGCATTTGATAGATTGTTCGTTGATTCGAACAAAAAACTGCTGAGTGGTTTCGTCTATACGTTGAGCCATCATGCGAAAAATAAAGATTTCATAGCTCAGGTTTACTTGGGCTTGAAATGTTCGTTAAAAGCTTTGACAACTTATTGGTATGTGATTAGTTTATCTTGAGGTATAATGTTTTCATAAATTTCGTAAGTGTTATCTCCAATTAAAGTTAGAAGTAACGAAAGTTTTTGTTTATCGTCTGTAATTACAAGTGAATCGCAAAGCAGCTCAAATCGTTTAATGTATCGTTTCCAGCTTGAAAATAACTTACTTGCTTCTTCAGTACATGAAAACGGTGGAAAGTTTGGTAAATTAAGGTTTTTTATAGGCATGGATAAATACGCTTTTTACTAATATCTTCGTTAATTTTTTTTTTTTTTTTAAATTTCTTTTCTTTTATCTTCGTCGCCAATTTAATGATAAACTACAACGTTTCTTATCGCTTATTTTCTATATAATGCCTTCATAAAGTTACAATAATATAAATATAGTTTAAATTAAGATCTCCATCTCGGAGCACATTCTCACAATCTGGAAATTGAGGTAAGATACGTCTTTAAATATCTATCTAAAGTCCTCGCTCAGGAGAAAACGTAGGTGAGATCTCTAGTAGAGATACGGCTTTTAAGATTGTCGGCGACTGTGCTTTTTACCGGTTCATTCAAGTCTGACTCAAAATTACTTAGTTTTTTATCTAGCCGATTTGATTTGGTTGTCCATTTTTACCAAAGAAGATGTTAGCAGTTTTTACGAAGATACAGACTACGTCACCGCGACTGTTTTTGTAGTCGCATAAGCACTGGATTGTGCATCTTATTACACGTTCGTCTAAACATTTACGACTAGTTCTTAACGGAAACTTTAAAAAGATGTCTTCTGAACTAGTAGGATTTTTTTTTAGAATTTAAAGACAGTGTTTCTTGCATGATTGGAAGCGCGACAACAAAATCTTGATATTGGTCTTTCGAGTTAGTTCCTTGAACATGATTTGTGTTTAGGGCATCCATATACTGCATACTTCTGCATGGTATTTCCTGCTTACTGGTTGCCTTCATAACCTTACATTTTTTCTCATTTTACTGATGTCTTTCCTCGTTTCCCTACATTCATTTCCGTGAAACTGTAGGTGTACAAAGTGTCAAGTTATACCCGTAGATTTTGTCATAATGGAATGCCTCTTCTTCGTCTGTCATTTAAGCGCCGATCGACTCTTGCGATTTCCGTTGGTGTGCCACATCATTTGTTCTGATGTCTTTGGCTCTGGTTATCATACATATATTAAAGCAGCCGTGGCGTAGTGGTTAGAGTTCTGGCTCAGAACCCAGAGGTCCCAGGTTCGACGCCGGCTCCAATCCAATAAACGACATTGGTAAGGAAGGGGGCGTGAACTTCTAGCTAAATGCTCTTCCGCGCTGCTCCGTGATAAAACCGTCAGGACTTCTGGAAGCACCTAAATAACCTATAAAAAAAAAAGAAAAAAAAAAAAAAAAAAAATACGCATATTGAAATCTTTCTGTGTCAATTGACTCGTTTTCTTGTAATTTAAATTTTTATTTTGTTTAACCCTTATTCGTAAAAGTTATGATTTCGTCTTTTTTCTTCTTGGTTATGTTTTGTTGACACCGCAGATAGACGTTTTTCGATGTTCAGTTGTTGGATATTTTTCCTGTGTCACTCTTTTGCTTGCGTCATGTTCCTGCAATTTGACGAGTTAAAATATCGCTTCTAGTTTTGACTCAACTAATTATGTTTTTTGACATGGTGAATCGGTGTGCGTCGAGACCTCGAATAAAAAATCAGCGCTAAAACAATGGGCTTTTATATCAAAACGAAAGTGCTGGTCATGTAAGCACTTTATTCGATCACGAAGTTAGTTTATTTATCATAAGTTCGCATAGGCACCTTGGTGGTTAAGTACGTGCACACAAAGGTGCACGTCTGCCTTCGCAACTGTTTACTAAGTGTTTTAAACACTTCCCATTTATTTCTGCGATACTTTTCGACAGAAAGCATATTTTTCTGACCTAAAACGCTATTTAACGCACAAATTTCTGTATTTGGAAACAGAATTCAAGAAAACATATAAAATAGTATGTATTAGCGAAAAAAAATTTTCACCAAAATTTGGCAGCTGTCGCAGACCAAAAACTCTTCCAGGTTTGAATTTAGCGTCAAATTTTGCTTTAGAAACAGCTTGTTGTAGAAAAACTTTTAAATTAACCTCACCCTAGTATAAATGCAAAATGCACGGTTTTTTCTAAAAATTGTAAACTTTTCTTATTTTACAGATAATAGTCCTTATATATACACAGACGTTTATTCCAAACATTAAATTTAAAAAAAGTACTGTCAAAGTTACTTAGTAAATTGAAAATAGATAAATTTAAACATAGGCATTAGAAATAGATCTATTTTTTATGACTAAGAATTAAATTGGAATTTCAGTTGTTTAAATTTTTGAAATAATTGCTCCTGGACGTTCGAATAACCGGGAGTTACTATAATCCTTATAACTAGATCACTGATCTCAAAATATATTTATATATTCTCAAAATATATTATATTTTGAGATCAGTGAGCTAGATCTCTAACTTCGATCCGAAAAGTGAAGCCGCTTTTTGGCCTTTTGGCGGATTAAATTTGTAAACAAATATTTTTAACTTTTCTTTTCTTAAATGAAGTAAATATATTTTGAATTTAAATACTATTTACGTAAAAGTGTTAAGCGGAAATTATAATATTTGTAAAATAATAATTTATGATTCCTTTACTTATTTTCGATTAAAAAGTTTTGAATAGAAAAGTAAAACGATAGAGGCTTTTGAAGCAATGTTATGAGTTAAAAAACTTTTTAATAAACATAGGTTCATAAAAAAATTTTTATAAGTATTTTATAATTATAAAAATTTGTTTTTGAATTATCTTTAATTTATTGGGAACTTTTGACTTGCATTTTTAACTTTTATTCCAGGCTTCGGCTTTAGGTTTTGCCCTTTTTACAAATGGTGGACTATTGTAATAAACAATTAGCTCGGACGAATTTTGAATTCGACTCAAAAAAATTCGACTAAATTCGGAATTCGAGGTAAATTTCGAATTCAAATTTTGTCAAATTTGAGATCTGAATTTGAATTCGATTTTTAATTTCGAATTCTGATTAATTGGATATAAATTTGATATAATTTGAAATTCAAAAATTCGAAACTCAAATTTGAGTTTCGAATTTTATCAGATTTGGAATAGAATTATAATAGTCTAAAAAACATTTTCTTAAGCAATTATAAAATAACTCCATGCGCTGCAACAAAATGAGCTTTGTAATAAAATTCTAAAACATTATTGGCTGATTCTTTTTTTGTGCGCAAAACTATGCTTTTATTGGGCGATACAGAAAAATTGAACACTTTCAAACGTAGATGTTACAATGAAAAATTTGTAATTTAATGAAAAGATTGCGTGATCAACTAAAAAATTTAACGCAACGACTTTTATACTCATTCAAATGAATTATGCGATTTCCTTCGTGCGTAAATAATGTCCAAGGGAATTGTAGTGTTGCAATTATTATTACATCTCCAAAGAGAAAATCGTATATAATTGTCCTTCGGGAATTGTAAATGTTACAATCATTACATTATAAATAAAAGCACTTATAATTTACTTATTGAAAAGACGAGTTCAATTTTAAACTAAAATTAAGCTAAAATCAAGTCAACATGGTTAAAAAAACTCACCAATTAAGGTGTTATTTTGCAAAAATCCAAGCTCTTAACGAAGAGGACAAGAGTAATCCCAAGGTAATTTGTCAGATCAAAGTGCCCGCAGGGACAGGACCAATTTGTGGAAAGGTTCTGTCCACACCTAACTCAAATACTAGCTCCATGAGAACTCATATTAGGTCTTTACATCCGGAACAGGCCAAATTCAGGAGGGCCTTTGGTGTGTTGACCATATACTAAACCTTGTGGTGACTGAGTGTCTCGGCATCCCTGAAGTAAAGAATGCTGTTGATGCATTCAAGAAATTGTCATCCAGAACTCACAAAAGCAGCATTGCTCAACAGAGGATTAAGAAAGATTGTGCCAGGATAAACAATCAATCTAAGGATGATACAAACATTGAAACTGGTAATTCATTTCTTTAAACTTTCAAAGTTTTTCAATTTTAAGTTTGGATTGTACATTTATTATATGTATATATTTTATTATATTTATTACATAATATTTATTTATGTTTATATTTAGTTATTATATAAATATATATATTATATAATAAATTTGGTTATAACGTGCCGGAATAAGACTTTTGTTGTTGGCCCGGAGCTATTTAAAAAAAGTGGCTCTTTTTATGGCAAAGTTGCACTCTATGAAATCTAAGCAAGTTTCTTAAAAAAAGTTCAGCTAAAAAGGTTTGGGTCCCTAAATGTGCAGGGTTTGGGGCTTTATTCCCCTAGCCCCTTAACCAATTTCTGATATTATTGTACATTGTATAGTATAAGAAAATTAAACTCACGATTTAAAAGAAGTTAGTTTTGGTATAACCTAGTTTGACTAGTTTTAAACCAAAATTTTACCAATAATTCTTTTAGTTGAACTTGTCAAAACCATTGCACCTGTTGAAACCCGCTGGAATTCCATCTTGATGATGATGCGATCCATTTTAAAGTTGAGGCCAGCTCTTGAGAGGATCAGAGAGGACTTCAGCAAGGGAACTGATCCCAAGATAAGAGAAAAAATCCCTACATCAGAGGAGTTTGAACAGGTGAATGAGTTAGATTTTTTTCCGAATTATTAAAATTCGTTATTCCCGTTAATTCCAAATATTAAAAATAGTTCTTAAATTAATTTTCTTTTTTACTTTTTTTGAATAGTTTTTTTTGAGTATTTAGTTATTGAGTATCAGGCATCCTATCTCAGGGGAGTAAGGATGACCTTACGGCATTAAAAGGGGACTCCAGATTGAAATCGAGAGTCTTTTTTTGTACCAAAATTTAGGACTCACTTATCTCCAAGGGCCTCAAAGTTATTAAATTGCTTAGGTAATTTTTAGGAGGAGTAGGGGGATGGTTTGTATAAACTTGTTAAATAATAATTGACAAAATTGTTAAGTTTTCTATTTTCAGATTGTTGCCATCATTGGTCCACTCACCAAGATTGAAGAGATGTCTTTATTCTTTTCTTCTGACCAAAAACCAACCATCTGCTATGTGGTGTCAAAACTTTTTAATATCGATGGTTATCTAAATTCTCAACTCAACAAACCAACAATCAGCGAGGAGACCAAAGTGTGCTGCAAAACCCTACAGTCAAATTTGGAAAAGAGATTCCCGGCTTGTGGGACCAAAAACAAGCTCTATGCTTATGGAGCATTTCTCCACCCATTTTACAAAGGACTCACACTTGCCCAACATGAAAGTTCAAATTACAGGGAAATGATTGAGCTGATGATAAAGGAGAATGAAGTTGAGCTAGTACATGACTTGAATCACGGAATTTTTGAGGAAGTTGATGAGGAAGACTACAGCATTGAAGCTAAGATTAGGCAATTGGTATTCAAATTTAAAATTCGAAAAGTTTCAGGTTAAAATTTTTTTTTTTAATAACTTTTTTTTTTTAGAGCTAAAATGAGGTCTTCTCAGTCAAGCCAGCATACCCGGTCACTGTTTTGAGGCAGCCATTAGCCCCATGCAGTTGGAAAACAGGTACCTCAACTTAACAAATCCTCCTCCAGCCGATGTTGATGTACTACAATGGTGGAGAAGGCATCATCGGGAGTATCCTCTTATTGCCAAGTGTACCAGAAAATACCTTTGTGTTCAGGTAAAAAAAACTATATTGAAAATATATATTTTTTAAGCTTTATTTTGAAATAGTTTTATTTTTCAAAGGGGTAGGGACACGCCAATTTCAAAAATTCAAATAACCAAATTTTTGAACTTTGGTCACTTAAATTTAAATTTGTACTTTAGCCGTTCGAAAATTTTTTCCCAGTCTACTTTCATTTAATTTGTTTGAACATTTGAAAAAATATTAAACTAATTTCATTTTTCAGACATCGTCAGCGAGCTCTGAGCGAGTGTTCTCATCAGGAGGTGCAATTGTGACCTGCCAAAGGACAAAGCTTGATGTTGAAAATCTCCACATGCTAGTTTACTGTAAGGAAAACTTGCCAAAGGTTAAAATCTCCGCAAAGTTTCTCGAAGATGAAGCAGAGGAGAATGCTGAAGAGGAACTTCTTCAGGACAAAACAACTGAAGTCTTGATAGAAGGTTCAGCCAAAATTCATTTTAGTAAGGGAGGGGGTAAAGGAAATAAAAAAAAGTTGGATGTTAGTCTTCAAAGTCAATCGAAGGCTGGGTCTACTTCAACCAGCCAATCAACAGTATTTTCAAGCATAAGAGTTGGAACCTCTTCAAGAAACAGAGATGAAAATCCATCAACTATTAGCATATAATGCATTGACAGTGATTGATTATAAACAAAAATGTGGAAAATGTTCCTTTTTGTTCCTTTTATCAAATTTATTATATTGTTTGAAATCAGGAATAACGTTTTTAACTTGGGTAAACCGTCCAGTAACTAACGTTTTTTTGAACCTATTTACATGTTAAATATAATTCTTATTCGTTAAATATAATTCTCAATCGTTATTTTATAAATCTCAACGTTTTATTTTAAAAATAGATTGCTTATAAATGTTTGTACATTCATTTCATCTTTTTCCATATTAATCTGAAAAAGGAAATAATTTCAAACTTTTTATGAGTAAATCTTCAGATTCGGCGCACATATATCTGTTTTTAAAATTGCTTTGCGCATGTGCAAGTTCACGCTTATGTCAGTTTTTGCAATTGGTTCATATCTAAGCCAGTGTTTGCAAATTCCTTTGGCGCACTTATGCCAGTGATTGCAAGTGTTCGCACTTATCTAGATTTGCCAGTTTGCAGTTACAACATTCGCCATTATGTAATTTCGCAGGTACAAAATTTGCACTTATTTAGTCGGTCTTTAGTCAGACCCCACCCCCACTCTTAATGAGTCATAAAATTCACCCTCACCATATTATTACGAAATTTACGTTCTCGCTAATTTTTAATACGACATTGTTTAGATTTTATACTTCATGTTAATTTAATGTACTTAATATTCACGAGCGGTTCTCGATGATAAGACCTGAAGGTCTTCTGCGAGTCTCCGCGTTCTTTCTTTTTTGTATATATTTTCTTTTATTGTATAACGATTTTTATCTCAACTATCTTATTGTATAACTATATTGAATATTCAAGAAAAGAACAAAAAAAAAAAATATATATATATATATATATATATATATATATATATATACTGGGTAGTTAAACTAAATAAAAATTTTTTTTCGAGTATTTCTTATACTATTTTGAAAAAATTTGAAAATACCTAATTTGAATTTGACAAAATTTGAGTAACTCGAATTTACATTTGAATTTCGAATTTGACTAAAATTCGAATTTGACCACTTCTATTTTTATAACACAAGTTCGAAAATTCGAAATTGTGACAAATTCGAATGAATTCGACTGAGCTTAATAAACAATAAAAAGCGGCTTCAATAAAATCCCGCAAGTTAGACATCTACACCTTTTCTGGATCAATTTAAAAGGAATACGAATCAATTTAAAAGGAATACGAATCAATTTAAAAGAAATACGAATCAATTTAAAAGAAATGCGAATCAATTTAAAAGAAATACGAATCAATTTAAAAGAAATACTAATTTAAATTGATTCGTATTCCTTTTAAATTGATTTGTATTTCTTTTAAATTGATTCGTATTTCTTTTAAATTGATCCAGAAAAGGTGTAGTTATATAATATAATCGCCGTTTATAGAGTACCGAAAGTTTTAACTTTCAGTATGCGTTCATTGGTTGTTAAAGGTCACGTGTAAAATCTTGTTTTTATATAGAGATTTATTTAAAATCTTGTTTTTATATAGACTTTCGGTACTTTATCCACGGCCTAATCACACGGCCTATACAATTACTGCTATAATCGTATGACAAGTGTGTCATATGATTAATGTTTTTTTTTTCAGTTATAATATTTGCGATGTGTATTAATATAATCTTTGCTGAGTATTACTCTTTAATTTTTAAATAAGTAAATAGTTAATTATTAAAGATGATGATTGATAACAATTTGATGTATAATTTTCATCAAAGAGATTATTATGACATAATGATGAACTCTATAATTAAGCAAACAAAATTTATGTTTGCTCGAATGTTAAAGAAATTTTATTTATATATTTATTTCTACAGCATAGATACTACAAATTTTGCAGAGTAGGATTATTGTAATCCTACTATAGTAGCAGTTAGTTAATTATTTGTTTTTTGTTAAGACATATTTTTTATTGAATTCGTAAACTGTTTTTGATGTTACTAAGTTATTTGGTACATTATTCCAATGCACTACTCTGTTGCTGAAGAAATTTTCACGGTAACTGTGTTTAGTAAACTCTCTGTACTCTTTGTGTGGTTCTCCTCTGATACTAGAAGATAGACCTTTTAGAGTTAAAGAAAATGCTTTTGAATTTGGATGACACCAGTTTACTTTGTTTAAATTTTATAATATTGGATGAGGTCCCCTCTAATTCTTCTGGATTCGAGACTTTTTAACTTGAAAAACGTTTTTCATAAAGATTGTGCTTGAGACCTGGGAAAAGCTTTGTAGCTCTTTGCTGAACTTTTTCAAGTTTTTTTATTTCATTTTTCAAATGTGAATTCTAAACTGGTGCAAAAAATTCTAATTTAGGTCTAACATAAGTTGTATATAGTTTAGTAAAGGTGTCAATTGACCAGAATTTAAAAGTTCGCTTTAGTGTACCTAGTTTTGAGTAAGCTTTATTGGTTATTATTGTGATGTGGTCTTTCCATTTCAGATCATTGCTTATGTTGATATCTAGGTCACATTCCTGTCTTGTTTAATTTAATTTGATGAATGTTCCATTGTGGGTTGTTATATATAGTGGGACAGTTTGATTTATTTGGTTAATTAACTTTTTTGATTTGGTACACCACATAATACTGGGAGCCATTCAGAGACTTCATTATCAATTACAACCCTTTGTTGCCTGTTTGAGAGAAAGTTGTGTAGCCAATTTGAAAGTTGTTGTAACCATAAGATTTTATTTTAGCAATTAGTAGTTTATGATCTTTTTTTTTTTTTTTTTTTAACATTTTCACTTTAAACAAGGCTGCAAGCAACCACTATAAGAGTTGGAAGTTACTGGAAGAGAAAAGACTAAATCTGTAGAGCAAGATAACGATTGACTGATGACTTAAAAGATTGCAAATTATATGAATCAGGAAAGCAAGATGAAGGAAGCGAATTCCAAAGAACTGATGTTCGAGGAAAAAAACTAGAAGAATAAGAGTTTTTGAAGCACTTAGGAATAGTCACAGAAAAAGGATGAGACTTAATTGAATGGCGAGTAACACGAGAATGAATTTTAGTAGATGGCACAAGGGACGCTAGCTCTTTAGAGCAGTGCCCATTATAGTATTTGTAGAAAAGAGAAAGAGAAGCAACATTACGACGATGTGACAGAGGTTGAAGGTTGGCTGCCAGAGCAGGTCCAACTATGTTTACAATTCGTTTTTGCACCTTGTCTAAAAGAGAAAGAGCATCATTAGAAGATCCACCCCAGATGTGGCAACAGTATTCCATACAGGGACGGATTTGAGATTTATAGAGATAGAGAATAGAATCTGGAGTAAGAAAGTGTCGAGCTCGATAAAGAGATGCAACCTTAGCAGATGCTAATTTTGCAATGGATTTGATATACGGTTTAAAAGAAAGATCAGAAGTAAGAGTTAATCCTAGAAGATGAATGGTAGATGACTCATCTAGTACATTACCATTCATAAATATAGGAAGATTTAAATTATTACGATAACGATTGGCCGAATAAAATTGAGTTTTATCTGAATTAAAGTTCACCAGCCACTGTGAGCCCCATGCTGTAGCAGAAGTGAGATCCTTTTCAAGCTCAGATACCCCCTCCAAGCAATCAGAGAGTGTAGGCTTCTTATCATGACAAGAGTAAATGGTAGTGTCGTCAGCGAATAATGCCACCTTAGATGTGAGAATATCTGGAAGATCGTTAATGTAAATTAAAAAGAGTATAGGGCCAAGGATTGAACCTTGAGGAACCCCTGAAGTTACAGGATGTGAAGAAGAGTGTTGTCCATCGAGGACAACTTTTATACTACGATTCGAAAGAAAGGACTCAATAATCTTAAAAACGTTACCAGCTACACCATAAGAAGAAAGCTTATGGAGAAGACCAGCATGCCAAACTTTATCAAAAGCTTTAGAAATGTCAAGTGCGATAGCCTTAACCTCTCCACCTCTATCTAATGCACGGTAAAACCTATCGGTTATTACTGTTAGCACATCAGCTGTAGAACGAGAAGACCGAAATCCATATTGATGGTCAGAAAGTAAGTTATTTGATTCAAGATGAGAGATTAAGTGTTTGTTAATTAAAGATTCAAAAACCTTGCTTATGACAGGAAGAAGACTAATGGGACGGTAGTTAGATGAATCAGATCGCTCTCCGGAATTTTTGAAAATAGGGATAACAGATGCTGCTTTCCAGCATGATGGAAAACAAGACTCTGATAAGCACTTGTTAAATAGTTTAGAAAGTATGGATGAAAGCTCCGGAGAACACCTCTGCAAAACTACAACAGGAATGTTGTCAGGACCACAAGCTGTTGAAGAGTCTAAGCAGGAAATTACTTTAGATACAGAAGCTGAAGTGATGCGAATGTCAAGCAAGGGATCAACCTGTTTGACGGCTATGTCAGGTAAAACGCAACTAGTGGAATCAAGAGATGATATTGATGAAAAGTTCTTAGCAAACAATTCAGCTTTGTCTTTAGGTGAGGTGACAAAGTCTGAACCATACAAGAGAGAGAAAATAACAGATTTGCCCTTATTATTGATACTGTTAAAGATTCTCCAGAAGTCTCGAGAGCCTAATTTTTGTGATGAGATACGAGATTTAATGACTTGGGAATAGCGAGTTTTGGCGTCAGACAAAACTTTTTTACAATGGTTTCTGGCGATAGTGAACAGATGTCTGTTTTCTGGAGAATTGTTTTGCTGATAGATATGGAAGTAACGGTTTCGATTAGAAATTGCTGCAGCGCAATGTGAGGAAAACCAAGGAGAAGAGTGAGGCTTGACCTGGAATCGTCGAGAGGGAATAAAAGATTCCATGCCAGCCTGAATCCACGAAGTTATGTAAGAAGCACATTTGTCAGCAGGAAGACGAAAGATTTCTACCCAAGGGCCATCACGAAGAAAATCACGGAAAGAGTCCCAGTCAGCTTTAAGGTAGTTGTATGTGGTACGATGATAGGGGGATTCTGATGAAGTAGAAGAATTTGATAATAGTTTTAGAGAGATCAAACCGTGATCAGAAGTACCTAAGGGTGAATGTGGAGAAATTGAGCACTGACTAGGATCCAAAACAAGACATAAGTCGAGTAGAGAAGGTAAATGATTAGGGTTGTCTGGAAAACGAGTTGGAAAGTTGACTATTTGAGTTAGAGATTGAGAAAGGCAAAAGTTGAGGGCCTTAACGCCAGCAGAGTCACTGACACTAGAGCCAAGCCAATCGGTGTGATGGGCATTAAAGTCACCAACAACGACGATATTGGCCGATGGATAAAGAGAGAGGGCTTGGTCAATTTGATCAGAAATAACATCAAGAATAGTGCAATCTTGGGATGAAGGAGAGCGATATAGAACAAAGAGAAAGGCGATAGAGTGAAGTTGTGCTAAACGAAAGCACATAAATGAATAGTCTGTAGATTCAAACCTAGTTTCACGACAAATGGGTGAGTTCTTACGAATGTAGATGCCCAGGCCAAGCATGTGATTATTGGAGTCTTTACGAATTAAAGTAAGATAACCATTAACACTAAGATCACAAGATGGGACAGCCGAACTCAAATTAGTCTCACAAAGAGCAAGTAGGTCTGGTGAACTTTGCAAGAGATAAGACTCAACAGAAGAAAAGTTACTTCGAAGACCACGAATATTAGTAAATGATAGGTTTAGAGAACTTGGTGATGACGATAGTTTTTTGTGTTTATTAGTTTTAGGTACTTTAGTCATTTTAAATTTATAAAGAACTTGACTCAAGTATAGATAGTACTCAGTACACTATTTAACAACTAAGCAATAGCCTCATTACTATTAATAAACCCTAAGCCGTAGCAAAGGGCTCCAAATGTGGCCTCTGCAATGCACACCAAAAGTACAAACAGGGACACCATCCATGCGCAACATGGCACTGTTAGTACTCTGATATTTTTCGGCTGTTGATGGAATCAGCCTTTCTGAGAGCTACCACAGAGTTCGGGAAACCTGACTACCAGCCGGCCTCAGAACCATAAAACTGAGTTTTAGAGCTGTACCCTCATTAGGAGATAATAGAATGAGTTGCCCAGTCATAAAAATAGAGACACAAGCAATACCCACGCATTGAGTCAAGAAGATCCAGCGTTCAACATCCTAAACTGGAAACAATGTATTAAGAATACATCTGCGCCAGCCTAATAGATGAGGAAGGGGTGCGAGGCTGGTCAACAGATAGAATCTGTTTACCCCTTAAGTATCTACTGTATCAAATGCTTTAGCAAAGTCAAGGTAAACCACTAAAGCATAAAATCCACTGTTTAAAGCATCAGTTATTACATCTATTGATTCAAGTAAGTTTATGATTACTGATTTACTTGTTGTGAATCCATGTTCTTTAGCTATTAAGTTATGTAGGTTTAAGTAACTTGTTATGTCATCTTTTATTAGTTTTTACATTATTTTACTTATAACTGATGATGATGAGATAGATCGATAATTTGTTGGATCATTTTTCTTCCCTTTTTTTGTTTGTTTGTTTTTCGATCGTACATTAAATAAAATTAAATTTGATATGGCTTAAAATACATCTATACGTTTGTTTTTATATAAAGATTTTTTAAAAGGTTACTGCAATAATTATAAAAGAAGAACTAAAGAAGATTAATCTAAAATATTTAAGAAACAGTTAAATAAATATAAAATTATGCTTAGGTTTAAAAACAAAAACATAACAACAACACATTTTTTGTTTGTTTTGTTTTTGCTGTTAAATTGAAGCATAATATTGTTTTTATTTAACCATGTTTTAACAGTTTTATTATTATTATTTTTTGTTTCTATCTTGTTTATTTTATCTATTTGTTTGTATTGTGTATTTTGTTTGTTATTTGTCTGTTTTTATTGTAGTGTATTCTTTTTGTTTTTGCTTTTTGTTACCATTTTTAAAATTTTTATTGTTAAATTTGTATTTGATCTCATGTTTATAGTTTTTACAATTGTTATGTGTAAAGGTAGATTGTAACATTTTAATCAGTTTTTAACTGTGCTTAAGATTTATGCAAAACCATTGTAATACAATTGTATTACAATCCGTTAGCGTACTGCTCAATTTTGGTTTTTTACTATGCTATAGTAGGATCATTGTGTAGATTGTTCCTCGGCTATGCCACATTTATGAGAAGCACATAA